ATCACCCACATTTAAGGGGGGGCGGGGGCGGGAGACAACCTGGTATTACGTCACTGACACTGTCAAAACCCGTTGCCTTCGAGGGGATTCCGACTCGCAGCCACCCTACAGGACAGAGGTAACTGCCCTATAGGGTTTCCAAGGCTGTATTCTTTACGAAAGCAGACTGCCACGTCTTTCTCCTGCGGAGTGGCCTTGCGTTCCAGCCAAGTGCTTCACCACTGCGCCGCCAGGGCTCCTACTGACACACTGTATGTAGGTCCTCAGTATTTATTGAATGTGTCTGAGGAGCAGTCAGAACAGTAGGAGGTAAATGAGGGGAACCATTGTTCCTAAGGCAAGCGAAGAAATGATTTCAAAAGAGGGGAGGGGTCTACCTACTAGATGCTGGTCAAAATTAAGTTTGCAGGAGATCTGGATTTAGGAACAAGGACATCACTGGTGATGAGCAGTTTCTGGGGATGGTAGAACGGGTGTACTGGCAAATGTTTAACAACTGATTCTCTGGAAGTATGTTTATATGTTTATTATAAATTTTACTGATATAAAGGACTGTAGTACAGAATTTGCAATAATAATAAATATATATATAATATTCCTTGTTACAAACTCTACACATTGTAACCAGAATTTGACAAATGGAGTTGCATCTCAACTACCAAGCATAGTCCCAACATGAATGTTGGTTGATATATATATTTAATTTATAAGACAAAAATGAAACAACAAAGATGTGTGTTGAAATTTCACTTGTTCTCCAATGACATGAGTAACTTCTCTGCTGAATATGATAATAGTTTCCAAATCATGGGGGACTTTTCTTATCTTTTTTGTGTGGGTTACTCACCATGTAATAGCTACAGATATGACATTTGTAAATTTAATCTGCATCATTAATATTTTCTGCATCACTTTTTTAAATGTAGACAATCAAAAAAGCTTGATTTGTACTTGTCTTAGTTATTTAGTGCTGCTATAACAGGAATACCACAGGTGAATGGCTTTAACAAACAGAAATTCATTATTCACAGTTTAGGACACTAGAAATCGGAATTCAGGGCCTCGGCTCTAGGGAAGGCTTTCTCTCTCTCTCAGCTCTGGAGGAAGGTCCTTGCCTCTTCAACTTCTGTGTCCTGGTTCCTTGGAGATCTCCCTGTGGATTGGCATCAATCTTCCCCCATTTCTCTTCTTGTTTGCTTGTTTAATCTCTCTATATCTCAAAAGAGATTTACTCAAGATAATCCTGCCTCATTAACATAACAAAGACAACTCATTCCCAAATGGAATTATAACCACAGGCATAAAAACAAAAGAAAAAAAAAAACCAAACCCATTGCAGTTGAATGGTTCCAACTTATAGCAACCCTATAACCATAGGCATAGAGGTTAGGATTTACAACACATATTTCGGGGAGACTATTCAATCCATACGGTAGTGTTTGCCAATTTCTGTGGTGTAAATACTCCCACCAAGGGTGGTTTCAAACTACCAACCTGACCTTACTGAATGAGTTGGAAAGAGATGCACAGTAGCAAATCATTATATAGTATTTCCACCATACTGATACAATAAACATAAATATCCTCAAGAGCATAGATAACAGTAAAATAATTAGAAAGCAACAAGTTCTGAGTATTACCTGTTTTTATAATTTATTAAATTGTAAGTGTACATAGTTTAATTTTTAATAATGGCTGTTTTTAACAACCAGCCCATACAGTTCCTGAAAAACAGTCAGCTTTCACAAGCTGGCAGATGAAAGCCAGCCTGCAGTGGGCGTGACTTTTCTGATCAAGCATCTAACCATGGCCAGCAAGGCGCACCTGCCTGGCCTTCCCTTCCAGCCTGCTTCCCTACCTCTGTGCAGCAGCCACACTCCAGAACCTCACTCAAACAGCTCCTGCAAGAGCAACACTTCTCCTGCCATCTTGGATAAATTAATCCCCACTCCCTAGCATCTGGGCACGCAAACAGTTTGCACTCCACTACTAAGAGTTAAGTGCTAGACTACTAGCTGAAAGGTTGGCTGTTTGAACTATGAGTTGAAATTGACTTCACGGCAAATAACATTAACCTAAAGGTTGGCAGTTAGAACCCACCCAGTGGCACTGCGGAAGTAAAGGCCTAGTGATCTGTTTCTGTAAAAATTACAGCCAAGAAAACCCTATGGAGCAATTCTACTCTGTAACACATGGGATCATCATGAGGCAGAACAGACTTTTTTGGTTTTCCTAGCATCTGTAAATCTCCTTTGCTGTACTTGTCACAATCTGCTAATTACTCTGGGAGTAAGGAGGAAATTGTTACTTGTCTGTCTCTTTCACTGGCCATAAGATATATGATAGCAGATGCTGAGTATGGGTCATATCCACATCTAGTCTCCTAGTACCTGTAACAGTGTTTTGCACATAGTACGTGCTCAATAAGTATTCACTGAATGAATGCTCAGAATGAAGGGCAGCCAGAGGGACAGCGGGCCAGGGAAAGATTATCCATGGTGAGGCATGAGGGGCCTTCCTCTGAGGGGCATCACCAGAAAGCATTGCCTTGGATGCCTTTTGCTTATGTGTAGTGGCCTGGGCTCCACCTTTGCAGGGCTAAAAGCATATGGAGAGTTCTCCCTAGATACACTGACCTTCCCCAGTGTCTTAGTCATCTAATGCTGCTATAACAGAAATACCACAAGTGGATGGCTTAAACAAATTTATTCTTTCACAGTTTAGGAGGCTAGAAAGTCTGAATTCAGGGGGCTAGCTCTAAGGGTAGGCTTTATCCCTCTGTCGGCTTTGGGGGAAGATCCTTGTCTCCTTTCAATATCTGTGGGCCTGGCGTTCCTTAGAAATCTCTATGTGTGTTGGCATCAATCTTCCCGTGTCTGGGAGGTTCTCAGGGCAGCGACCTCGAGTTCAAAGGATGAGCTTTGCTCCCAGCTCTCCTTTCTTGGTGTTAGTGAGGTCCCGTCCCTCTCTGCTCCCTTCTCTCTTATAAGATAAAAGGTGTGACTCAAGCAAGGGTGTAACTTGAGTGCATGACTTAAGTAAGGATGTGACTTGAGTCACAATCTCTTGTAAGGCTGTGACTCAAGATACACCCCACACTGATCCTGTCTCATTAACATATAGAGATTAGGATTTACAACACATCACAAAATGGAGGATAATTACATCAGACCGCAAAATGGAGGAGAACCACACAATACTGGGAATTATGGCCTAGCCAAGTAGACATATATTTTTGGGGGACAGAATTCAATCCATGACCTCCAGGAAACATGATCCTGAGACATCTTGTGACATGGTAGAACTTTAGACTCTTGTAACTTGTCTATTTGTTGAACGCCTAAGAGTGTGTATGTGTTTTAGTAACTTTCTTTTAAACATGTTCTTCCCATGTGCTAGCAAGCAGGAGTGGGAGTGGAGTTCTCAACAGATTGCTGACTGAACAACAGGGGTGCTTTGCCAAGTTTCTGGGTGGGGTTCCAACCATCTGGGAAGTCACACCCGGGGCAGGTGACCCGTCTTGCCATAGTAATATGGAAGACTTGACAAAAGATGACCATCTGTGACACCAAGTATGACCGACACCAGTTATCATTTTCTAGAAAATCCAAGATGTGCAAAAGGATTCTTTGCTCATTTTAGTTTTTGAAATGAAAAGCAATGTAATATTAACAAATAATTAAATTATGGAGTTTACAAATATGTATAAGATTACTGGTGATAAAAGTTTCCAGAGAAGTCAGAGTCCCTGCCAAGTGAGAAGCCAGCCCAGAAGAGAAAGGAACTCATCTGTATAATGATGCTCCTAAGTCAGACGCTAAATGATTGACAGAAATTTAACCATAAAAATAATTCAGCAGCAAAATCACCAGCAGATGGTTCCCACTTCATATAGTTGGGGAAACTGAGAACCTGAGACTGTATGTAAGGTCACAGACAGGGACAGATTACCCAATCAGCAAGGTAAGCAAGAAAATAGGGGCACCAGTTGTCCAAAGCAAAGACCCATAGGTGCCAAGCAGACAGGACACAAGGAAAAGCAGGCACCGCAGTGGAAAGGAACCGGCAGGGCACTAAATGAAACTGATACCAGCTCCAACGTGTGAGAATGTGCCGACGGAAGATAAAGCTCACACAGGGTCACAACGGAGAGACCAATTTTACTCATGTAGGCATGTATGATTCCATAATAGAAGATAAAATACAATGAATCTTTACCAATGTTAAAATTGCTTTACACATATTCCTAATTGTAATGATCACAAACCGCACAACAGAATGCTCATTTTCGTCCCTAAAGAGACTTAAAAACCCTCAGCATACAATGATTCAAGAAAGACTCGATTCAATATCCTTATTATGTATGGAAGTAGATATTGTTCAGCAGCTTAACTGTGACAAAATCATTGAAGAATTTTTAAGAGCAAGGAATAGAAATGTTTTTAATTACAACACGTTAGAGATGAAAGAGCTATCTAAAAATAAAATATAGTAATTTGTTGTAATATTTGTTTTCTGATCAAGTTTTTCTTTTATGACATATTTTCATTTCTTCATTTATAATTATAGCATTTATTACAAAACAAATATCACAATTGAATCATAAGGCATTTAAAGCAAAATCGGTGAAAGTCAATTTTTCATTGTGGGCAATCAAGGTAATTTTTGCATTGTTGAAACAGCTAAGTTCACTGACCCATTTTCTTTGTAGTAGAATATGTGAAATATTCTTTTTGTAGAAAATATGCTATATAGTAAAAAATCCTACTACCCAATATCCACTAAAAATTTTATCCTCCAGTTCATCTCATTCCACTAAAATGTCTTGCAGTTATTTTAGAACTCAGTTGCCATGGGTAGCTAAAAGACCCATACACACAATGTATATAATATATAACTCACATAACCTGTTCTACTGCGTAAGCTGAGTAAGGATCTCCAATTTCTCCACGCAGCCATAAAAACGCAATTCAAAAAACAAAAGCTTGTGACTACGACAGTAAAACCGCACAAAGAACACTAATACACAACAAACATAAAAAACACAAACCTTCCACGTTACTATTCAGAACAAAACTTGTAACTAATTTTTCCACACACAAACTGAAAAAAAGAGATCGTCAGCAAAATCAGATAGGAGCAATCAGGATGTTGCAAGTCCTGATTACGCGGAAACATTAATCACATTTCATGCGAGCTCCAATCATCATGTTATATCTGTTCTCCTAAAGGAGAAACAGGTAAGGATTAACCTTACTGACGATAAAAACTCCTCCTCGCCACTCTGTACTTCGTAAAACAGATTCCGCTATTAGTTAGGGTGAGTAGAAAACTCGTTAGCCAGAGCAACCTAACGTTATTTTGGTTCCTCCACTTCTGTAGCTATCTTTCTTCGTGGACTTTTTTTTTTAAATACATTTTTTTTTCACTCGGCTTCCGAAAAACAATAAACTGATTCCTCCCAGAATGCTCCACTTAATTACGCGCTGGGAGCCGCAACCCCACGCATCCCCTTATTTACATAACTCCACCCACTCCCTTCCGCCAGATGTCTACCGTAATAACTAAAATAAAAGATACCTGCAATTTTAAGGTCTGCAAGGCTGGAAAACAGCCTTCCGTTTCTTTAAGTAGTTTGGCCACCCTGAATCTCCCTTGAAATTTTTATAAGTCTTTAAAAGAAAAAAATTTTATTATGTATTAGGTGACAGTTTACACAGCAAATTAGACTCCCCTTTAACAATTTTTATACAAATTGTTCCGTGACATTGGTTAGAATTTTCGCATGTGTCAGCATTCTCATTTCCATTCTGTTTCCATTTATCTAGCTAGCTTCCCTGCCCCTCCTTGCGTTCTCACCTTTACTTTTCGATAAATGTTGACCGTTTGGCCTCATCTAGTTGATTTTTTTAAGGGAGCACATTCCTGACGGGTGATATTGTTTCCAATTCTTAACATAAATCTTGATCTCACTAAAAATATATTTTATTATAAAATACTAAATAAAACGCGACTACTCCTAGACTCGGAAGATAAATCCCAACACTGACATCCTCCTCCAGATGCAGTTTCAGGGTGACGACGGAAGTCTATGCTTTCCTGCCCCTCATTCCTCTGGGCTTTGTCCCTCCATTCCCATCAGGAAGGTGATCACAAAGGTTTCTTTTTCAGTCCAAAGACGGTGACGAATAATGCCATTTCAGTGACAGCTGGGAGGGCGCTGTGGGAGGTAGGTGGTGGATTCAGGGACCCTTAATAAAAATCCTTAAATCCCCAAACCAGAGACCCCACACCCCGAGTGTATCGTGGAAAACTTCAGGATATTGAGTGAATCTGGTATCTCACACACAGGGGACACCTTCAGATTTGAGGTAAACCTCCCTTCCCCATCCCCAAATACCTCACCTGCAGAAGACAAAAATGTACCAGTACGTGGTGCACTCCCAACTCTCGAATATGAAGAAGGACAGGGCCACTGATGCACTACAGTGTGCCCCGATGGCTTGGGTACACACTAGAGTCAAAGAAAGCCTTGGGATTGGCAGGTAGTGATGGGCCAGAAAAAGCCCGTGGTGAGGCTGGCATCTGTGCTCAGGTTAATCTCTAGCTCCCTCATCACACTGCAAGGATCAGAGCCTGCAGCCCAGCCTTCTGAGTTTTAGGACAGCCATGTGAGTAGAAGCCAGAGCCGAGGCTGCATAACTGGGACCTCAGGCTATCCCCACCCCATTATTAGGAGGCAGGCTGAACCCTCCAGGTGAGGTAAGAGTAGGCTCCCCACCTACCCCCAGGCCACACAGGCATGCTCACAGCAACTTGATGCACGTAGCTGGAATCCCAGTCTACCTCCTGGGACTCCTGGCCCACAATTCAGGTGTCAAGGGCCTTTGCTGATCCATGTCCCTCACTTCCTGTCTTTTCTGAGTTCCCATATTGCTTTATATCCTTCCACAGTCCTATAGCATAGTGCTTATTGCACTGCATTACAAGGTTTGTCTGTCTCCTTCCTCTTCAAGGGGAGGTGTTTTACTCCCATTTCTGGATCTCCAGTGTCTGGAGTGTAGCAGGAGCTTAACACGTATTTGAAGACTGTATTAAACCCCTCATATTGCCTAAGAAGATGTTTCCACTGGAGAGATTTTGTTTACCCCCTAGGACAAATACTACTGGGTCAGAAAAGCCTAGTTAGATGGCTGAGGGGAGTCGGGTTGGAAACGGGCTGGGTGGAAAAGGTGCGCAGGTGGAAAGGATACAGATGAGACTCTGGGTGCTGTTGAACATGGAAACTCCCGAGAAGAAACCAGCCAACTCCACTGCAAAGAGGCCCAGGGTGACAGAGAGAGCTGCCACTAGCCTGCAGGGAGAAAGGCAGTGGGCTCAGCCCTTCATGACTTTTTCTAAGACCCCTCCACTCCCACCACCGCTTCAATCTGACCACCCCGCTCCAAGAGCTTACTGGATATCCTGCTTCTCGTACTCCTCGGGGGTGAACGTGAGAGGCAGGCAGGCCTGGATGTTGCTGTCCTGGGGAGCCGGGCAGAGAGGAAGAAAAGTGTGAAAAGGGGGCGGGCTGCGTGTCAGGCGTGGGGTGGCGGGGGATGGGGGAGGCCAAACGGGTTGATGCTGAAAAGTCCTAGGGAAGGGGCGGGGTAGGGCTGGGACTATCCGAGGTGGGGATAGGCGTGGCGAGGGAGCGGCCGTAGGTCTTACCCTGGACCAGAATAAAGTGATGACGACAACCAGATGTGCCAGGAGCGTCAGGAAGCGAGAAGGCACGAGTCCCGAGACCCGGCCCATGGTCCCCGGGAACAGGGGTACCGCCCAGAGCAGACACGGTGGGCTGCCAAGCTGCAAGCTCCAAGCGGGTCACTCCCGAGGCCCGCACCGCCCCCCTCAGTCCCACCCCCGGCAAGCGCGCAAAAATTCGTGCGCCTCCTTCCCGCCCGTGCTGGCACCGCCCACTTGCCTTGGCAACTGCGTAAGTAGGGGCTGGTCCCCGTTCTCTAGAAATCTCGCGAGAGCAGTAATCTCGAGCTGCCATGGGCTCGTCGAAGAGCGTGCGTCTGAGTTTCGCTGAAGCTGGTCGCAAGCTGGAACTGACTCGGCTGCCAGCTCCCGCGCACTGCCGAATCTGCCCGGCCAGGCTGGCTGATAGAAACTCGGCCTGCCGTAGCCCGGGGACGCCCCTTCCTCCTCACATGCCCACGCAGGAGGCGGCCAAGCCTCCAACCTTGGCTACGGTGCCCAGGATGACCTATCACCGAAGATCGCTGCCACCGCCACGCCGGGTTTAGGGCACTGGTGTGTACGTATAGATTGATAGACAAAGATAAAGCAATGTCTGGGTGAAAGCACGTGAGAATTTCTTGTAGTACTTTTGCAATTTTTTTGTAAATCAAAATAAAACGTTTAAACCAACGCACCTTTTCAACAACAAGCTATTTTGTAGATACGGATTGCTGTTTTTAAATTTTGATTTGATTTTGTTTTATAATTACGTTAAACATTTACATGGTTCCATAGTGAAATCTACCCAAAAAAAGTACATTCAGAGAAGTCAGGCCTCCATTCCTGTCCCCTCCACCCTCCATCTCAGGTAAACGATTTTATTAGTTTTCAGTTTATCTTTCCGTTTATATATATATATATATATACACACACACACGTGTAAATATATATACACACTATAACCAAAAACCAAACCATAGCAACCATATAGGACAGAGTAGAACTGTCCAATAGAGTTTCCAAGGAGCAGCTGATGGATTCAAACTGCCAGCCTTTTGGTTAGCAGCTGTTGCTCTTAACCACTGCACCACCATGACTCCATGTACACTATAGACACACACATACAAACACACACACGCATATATATACAATAGACACACATTCTTGGTAATAGTAATTTTTAATTTATAACATAGTTGAAAACTTTAGTGTCCACTGCCTGATTTGAACCTCAACTCCAGAAAGCAAGCTGGATAGGAATAATCTTCATTTTATATAATAAAGGCCCAGAGAGGTTAAGCAACTTACCAAAGTAACAGAGCTGATAAGTGGCAGAGACAGACTCTCTCAGGTCAAAGCCCATTATCTGGATGATAACACCAACAGGGACTGAGACTAAGAAAAAGCCGCCAGTGGGCTGGCAGGCAATTAGGAGAGCAAGAGAAGTATTTCTAGAAGGAAGGGTAATTAACTGTGGAGTGTGGTGTCTTTTAAACCTTACTATCTACGAGGCAGTCGTTTGAACAGAACAAGGAGCTATGTGATGGTTTAAAATCAAAAAAGATGTGCAGCAGGGTTGTATCCTTTCACCATACTTATTCAGTCTGTATGCTGAGCAGATAATCTGAGAAGCTGGTCTATATAAAGAGGAACAGTGCATCAGGATTGGAGGAAGACTCATTAATAACCTGTTATATGCAGACGACACAACCTTACTTGCCAAAAGTGAGGAGGACTTGAAGCACTTACTGATGAAGACCAAAGACCACAGCCGTCAGTATGGATTATACCTCAACATAAAGAAAATCCTCACAACAACTGGACCAATAAGCGACATCATGATAAATGGAGAAAATATTAAAGTTGTGAAGGATTTCATTTTACTTGGATCAACAGTTAACACCCATGGAAGCAGCAGTCAAGAAATCAAACAATGTATTGCATTGGGCAAATCTGCTACAAAAGACCTCTTTAAAATCTTAAAGATGTCACTTTGATACTAAGGTGCACCTGACCCAAGCTAGGGTATTTTCAGTCACCTCATATGCATGTGAAAGCTGGACAGTGAAAAAGGAAGACCGAAGAAGAATTGACACATTTGAATTTTGATGTTGGTGAAAAATATTGACTATACCATGGACTGACAGAAGAACAAACAAATCTGTCTTGGAAGAAGTACAGCCAGAATGCTTCTTAGCAGCAAGGATGGCGAGACTTTTTGTCTTGCTTACTTTGGACATGTTATCAGGAGGGATGAATCCTGGAGAAGGGCATCATATTTGGTAAAGTAGAGGGTCAGTGAAAAAGAGGAAGACCCTCAACAAGATGGATTGACACAATGCGCTTAAACATATCTGATATTATGAGGATGGCGCAGGACCAGGCAGTATTTCTTTCTGGTGTTCATAGGGTGGCTATGAGTCAGAACTGACTCCATGGCACCTAACAACAAACAATATCTATGAGGTAGATAGGAAACTGAGGCACAGAGCAGTATATTTACCTACCTGAGGTCACAGAGCCTGCAGTTGGTGACACCAGGCTTCAAACCCAGTCTGACTTGAGAATCTGAGCTTTTAGCCACCAGACTCTTACCTTTCACCAGTCCTCATTATAATTTGTAATCATTTGATTTATTATTTATTGTGTCTTTCCTACTAGAACAAAACAAATGAATGCAACAAATAAATGAAGTCCCCTTGAGGTCAAAGCCCAGGAGAGCCACTGCCATTCTGAAGTGCATGTAGGTGGGTTGTGGGAGGAGGAGGAGTAGATCAGCAGCTACTCAGCTTCAATCAGTTGTCTTGAGGAAACCAAGTCCAGAGTTGCCAGATTCCTTGCTTTTTTATTTTTTCAAGAGAGACCAGAAATCTAGCTTCTTATTTCAATTCTAAATGTTGGCCTTCAATTTAAAAATGAAAAAATTAGAAGAAAAAAAAATAACCTTCATGGCAATAGATTAACCAGCCTTCAACCTCTGGACTAGCCCTATCCAATAGAACTTTCTGTGATAATGGAAATATTCCATATTGTCTATGTTCAGTATGGTAGCCAGCTAGCTCCATCTGGCTGTTAAACCCTTGAAGTGTGGCTAGTGGGACTGAGAAAATGAAAATTTTTTAAAATTTAATTCAGTTAGCCCCATGTGGCTAAACCTGTGACCGTTGCCGTCGAGTCAATTCTTATAAGTACCCTATAGGACAGAGTAGTACTGTCCCATAGCGTTTCCAAGGAGCAGCTGATGGATTCAAATTGCCAGCCTTTTGGTTAGCAGCCGAGGTGAGTTTAGGCAACTGTAAATGAGTCAGCTTGGTTGTCACATGGGAGGTGAGAGGAGAGTGACTGAAGAATTAGGCAAAGATCAGATATTAATAATAACAACAATAACAATCGAGTGACTTCTACCAGCCAGCCTCTGAGCACTTTATCTCTAGTAAATAAACTAGTAAAAAGCCAAAACCAAACCAAGCCCTTTGCTGTCAAGTCGGACTCATAGCGACCCTATAGGACGGAGTAGAACTGCCCCATAAGGTTTCCAAAGAGCACCTGGTGGATTTGAAGTGCGTACGTTTTGGCTAGCAGCCAAACTCTTAACCACTATGCCACCAGGGTTTCCAAATAAACTAATAGTCGTATATTATTATTATTACTGTCTTAGTCACCTAGTGGGACAGAGCCCCCACAGTGCTATATTCTTTACCTGGCTTCCTCCCCTACAGTGTTGTATTGAAAAATCGTTTCCTTTGCTGGCCTCCCCCTCCCCCAGCTTTGCATGTGAATCCTGCTTTTGCTTGGAGGTTATATGTAAACCCCATTGTGCCTGCATAGTATGATTAAGAATGTTGCTGATGTAACTTGCATGAACTTCCCACTTGTAAACAGCTTTAAAAGTAACTTGCCTGCCCACCCTTGGCGAGCAGTCTTGGCAGCAGCTCCGCCTGACTCCTTTTCCTTGTATAACGAAGTAAAGGTGGCTTTCCTATTCTCCCACCTTGGTCTCTCGTTTATGGGCCAATAGAAGTCATGCTGAGCAAGAACATGGGGTTTCCACCCGGTAACACTAGTGCTGCTATAACAGAAATACCACAAGTAGATGGCTTTAACAAAGAGAAATGTATTCTCTCACAGTTTAGGAGGCCAGAAGTCCAAATTCAGGGTGCCAGCTCTAGGGGAAGTCTTTCTCTTTCTGTCGGTTCTGGTGGAAGATCTTTGTCATCAATCTTCCCCTGGTCTAGGAGCTTCTCAGCGCAGGAACGTCAGGTCCAAAGGACTTGCTCTGCTCCCGGCTCTGCTTTCTTAATGGTATGAGGTGTCCCCCTCCCTCCCCCCACCTCCCAAGGCTCTCTGCTTGCTTGTTTTATATCTCAAAGATTAGGCTGACTCAAGACACAACCTAATCTTGTAGATTGGGTCCTGCCTGATTAACACCATAGGGTAGGATTTACAACACATAGGAAAATCACATCAAATCACATAATGGTGGATAATCACACAATACTGGGAACTGAGAATCATGGCCTAGCCAAGTTGACACACATTTTTGGGGGACACAATTCAATCCATAACAATTACCATTTTACAGATGTAGACACTGAGGCACAGAAAGGTTCAATAAGTAGCCCAAATTACACAGCTAGTAAGTAGCGAAGCCTGTATATGAATCCTAGCAACCTGGTTCCAGAGCCCACATACTTAATCACTACACTCTATCACTTGACCTTGTGGGCCAACCTTCATCCCAAAGGTGATGTGGCACTGATTTGAAGCTGAGGAGTGATGGAATCATGTTTGAATTTTACAGAGATGATTCTCTTGTCTATTCTGGAGGCAAGGAGAACAGAGAGGAGTCTATTATAATAATGGATCAAAAGAAGCTGGGGGATGGCAATGCGAAAGGAGAATGAGGACTGACAGGAGAATTATTAAGGAAACCGACAGGACTTGGTGGCTAATTGGAAATTGGAATTGAGGGAACGGGAAGAGTCAAGGTTGAGTCCTAGCCTCAGCTTTGCCATTCACTGAGAGTGCAGAAGGATTGGGAAAGAAGGTCGACAGGGTCAAGTGGAGGTGTCTAATAGGCACCGGATGTCTGGGTCTAGAAGGGGGGTGGTATGGAGAGGGGTGGAATTCAGGGGCCCTCAGCACACAGTGATAGCTGAAGCCAGGGAACATGCACGGCATGAGACAAAATAGAACTCTGAGGATTTAAGGTGAGGACAGAAAAAAGAGGGATGAGAGGGGTGGGGCTGGCGGAGGGGCGGGTTAAGGGAGCCAAGCAGACAAGCGTCATGACAACCAAAGAAGATTCTTAGAGGAGATGTTGCCCTGAGTCCATTAAGGCCAGGCCGGAGAAGCGTCTGCAGGCTTTGACATTTCTGTGGTCCCTGAAAACTTTTGGTAGGGCCACTGTGCAGAATGCGCAAAAATTAGGCTTGGAAGGCAAGCAGCGAGATACTGCATGACCTTCTCTCCCGTCGAAGCCTATTGAACTCCTCTTATCCTTCCAGAAGCGATTAGAATGTCTTTCCAGTTTGGGCTATTTCTCTGCAGAGGTCCCAGCTCAAAGGTCCCAGCTCTGTCTAGCTACCCACTAGCTGTCTTCTGACTGATGGGTCCCCATTAGTCTCAGAGTAGAACTGTTCTCCACAGGGTTTTCAATGGCTGATTTTTCAAAAAGTAGACTTGAACCTCCAAACTTTTGGTTAGCAGCCGAGTATGTTAACCGTTTGCACCACCCAGGATCTCCTTCCTGTGTCTTGCTAGGGGAGCTTTAAAAAATACTAACGTTCGCAGTGATAGAAATTAGAACAATGATTGCCTCTCGGAAGACGGGGATGGATTGGGAAGGGATAGAACTTTCTGGGGTGATGAAACTATCCTGTGTCTTGAAGAGTTGTGGGTTGCACGGGTGTATGCGTTTGTCAAAACTCATCAAACTGTACACTTAAGATCTGTGCATTTCACTATATGTAAATTATACAAAAATATCTACCTGGACCATTTAAATCAGAATCTCCAAGCCTGGGGCTTGTGCGTGGCTATTGTTTAAGGCTCCGCAGGAGATTGTAAGGTGCAGCCAGGGAGAAGGCGCACTGATGGAGGAGTTAAATCTCTCACTTCTTCAGGTGCCTTGGGCTCTGGTATGGCTCCATCACATTTTGCCTGGTATCTGTCCTTCCATCCGATTCTGGGCAGGTCTGTCTCAGCTGGGCTGTGTGTGGCGACCCTAGTTGTATGCAGGACTCTGAAGTCGGAGTCGGACGAACTGCTGAGCCGGGAGGCCGTAAAACCACTGCCCTGTCCGTGCAGCCCGCCTCTGTTCACCCTACGGAATGGGTGGGAGAACGTAGGCACCACTTTGAGTGTTTTGACAAAGGAAAGAAAGTTTTCGGCTCTCGCGCCTAGGCCGCCTGCACGGCAGACACCTGGCTGACCAGAGATCATAAGGAAATCTGAGAAACTGTACATACAGCTGACCTCGTGGCGCAACGGTAGCGCGTCTGACTCCAGATCAGAAGGTTGCGTGTTCAAGTCACGTCGGGGTCAGTTCTTCTTTTCCTTCGCTTCGTCAGTTCATTTTTCTCATTTTCAGCTACGTCCGATCCCGAGTGCCCAGGTCAGGGACGAAGAAGCACCTCTTAGGGGCCGGGAGGGCAGGGTTTCCGGCGCAAAGTTCCGAGGCCGCACCGTCGGAGAAACACAGCGATCTCGCAGTGGTTTTTCCGGCGGATCAGGGTGCCCTAAGTGTGGGTGGATAGCCGTGCTCCTGAGCACAGGCGCACGTTCGAGATCCATTAGCCTGGGGGGAGGAGTGCCAGGCGCTCGCGGGGCGAGGAGGCCACTCTGAGCTTAGGGGTGCTGGACATGCTTCTTCAGAGTTCACGACGTGGGCTGTCCTTACAAGCAGGAACAAAAGTTCAGACCCCAGAGAAGAAACTTAGGGACGTCTTCTTGTAGACGAGGTGGCCGAGTGGTTAAGGCGATGGACTGCTAATCCATTGTGCTCTGCACGCGTGGGTTCGAATCCCATCCTCGTCGGTCTGCAGCTACTGCTGTTCACGTCTGTTGGTTTTGTTTTTTGAATCCTTTCACTATGTCTGCGTCACCGCTGCACCCTTTCTCGCCTTCAGCGGTGTTTTTCGTCCCTTCCACTCCATTCTTCAATAGGGCAGAAGGTCAAAAGAAATATATAGTCCTTCCCCCACAAACCAGGGGGCTGACTCCGCCAAGTAAACAAGGTGCAATCGTTTTTTAGGGGGTGCCGTGGCTTAGTTGGTTAAAGCGCCTGTCTAGTAAACAGGAGATCCTGGGTTCGACTCCCAGCGGTGCCTCCGGTATATCGTTTGATTTTGCTAAAGACCTCATGCTACCTGCCAGCAGATTTCCCTTGGCATCCAGTATAAAAATTTTCCTTCATAACCATCGTTCCCCTTCCAAGTAATCCGCCAGGTGTTCGCAGGCTTTTTCCATTTCAGGTAGGGTGCATGCTTAGGCGTGGTTGCTGCGTGCGTCTTGCGGCTCATGAACCCCATGCTTGCGCTTCGACCTGCCCCAAGAGCCAGAGACACATTATCTGTGTTCGTCAGTACGGCAGTTTAGCTGTTACTTCTCAAAATGCTCAGCTAGTCAGTTTCCGCTTTCCACTTGCACGCCTCCTAAAGCAAGCCTATCCCCTCTGAGATTTACCTAGAGACTTGCCTGATCAGTTTTGTGAGTTTTACATAATTTCCTACAGACATTTGTCGACGGAGCGGCCGGTTAGCTCAGTTGGTTAGAGCGTGGTGCTAATAACGCCAAGGTCGCGGGTTCGATCCCCGTACGGGCCAAGATTCTAATTTTAAGACCTACAGGTTTTACCCTTAGAAACAAATACGTAACGGAGGAAGGCTTATACAGCAACATACCCCCAATACGAGTATTTCACATGCAAAAGGGAAAGCAGTTGGATTTCGGCTCAAAGTGTCCGGAGGAGGGGGAAGGTTTACAGAAGGCGGAGATCCTTCAATGATCTCGCTTTACAAATCTCGACTTTAGTGGGTCTCCTGAAACTTACGATGCGAACTGTAAACATAAGACTGCCAGGGGCTGGGAAAAGGACTGTTTTAAACCATAAATGTATCACTGATCAGCCGAGTGTGGGAAATGGAGCTGAGAAGTGGTCCCAGTCTTCTTCCAGAGCCAAGCTGTCCCATCCGCCCAGTCGCTGTTTGCCCACTTAAGACCTAAGAAGACCGTCCCTTTCCTCCCTCTTCCAGAGTAACTTGTTTCCATTTCTGCTTTTAATGGGTTTCTGGGAGTGTCTGATTATCTGTGTCTTGCCTTCCACCTCAGATCCTGCTGCTTAAGATTAGGAACCGTTATCTTCCCCTCCTAGAATGGAACCACCCCCAGCACCAGCCCTGGCCCCAAGGGAGCTCCAAAGCAAAAGACCCCCCCCTCAGTCCCATTCCTCTTGCTCCGCAAGCCCCGCAACCCCACACAGACGCAGCCTCAGTCTTAGCAGTAGCAGCACTTTAATTCCACAAAACTCAGAAAGCCAAAACTGATTAGAACACTCCACAACAGGTGGGCTTCAAAACCAGCAACAATTCTACCTGAACCCTGAGAGCAGTGAGACACCTCTCACCTGATCCCCTTCACCGTGAGATGAACTCCTCTGAACTCTGCCTTGCTTCTGGCTAGGGAAGTGGTATGGTAGGGGGAGAGGGCAGAAACAGAAGGTTGTCCATCTGCAGGTGTGCATCCTTGCTTGCATGGGGTGTGGCCAAGGTCCACTTAAGCTTCTAAAGCCCCTGGCACCTGAGATGTGGCCACTGGAGTCAGGGTGGCCACAGTGGGGGTGGGGCCTCCTCTGTTCCCCTCTCTTGATCACATAACGGAGTCGTGTCTCCACCTTCAAGCCGAAATCTAAAGTCCTGGGTTCCCAAGGACGGTGCTCTAGCTAGGAAAGAAAGTCGTGGAGAATAGGGTAGCTACAGATTGCCAGTTGAATATATAAGCAGAGCATCATCCCCTCCCTCCAAGAGAGGAATTAGGACTTCCCATTTACACCCGCCTAAGGCTCAGCGATTAGGCGCCAGACTGTTAAATGCATCTGGAAGAGCCTCCAACGCATACAGGTCTCCCCTCCGGACAGTCCCCACCAGGGCTCCTTGAGTCCTTAAGGGTCCTGCTGGGCCCTGTCCCCGTCCGGCCTGGCCGCTCCTGCCCTCCTGGTCACTTGCACAGTGCCTCCAACACCTCCAGTGTGCGTCGGATGTCTCGGACTTGGCGCGCCAGTCCCTGAACCGGCTGTAGCGCCCGCTCCAGCTCCTCGCAGCGCGCCAGCAGGGTGTACATGCCTTTGATGCTCATGTCCACGGCTTCTCCTAAGGAGTCCACGGCGTCGCGGTAGGTCTGGATGCAGCCCACGCTCAGCGCTGTCAGCTCCTGCACCGCGCCACCCAGCCCGCGGAGCAGACGGTCTACCCGGCCGCCCAGCTCCCGACTCAGCCGCTCCAGGTCCCGCAGCACGTCGGGGTCGATAGGCGGGATGGCCGGAGTGGAAGCAGGCGTTGGGCAGGGCCGCGCAGGGGCAGGTAGCGGGGGTTGAGGGGCGCCGCTCAGACGGATCTTGAGTTGCAGGTTGTTGGCCACAAAGTGGGTGAGGTCGCCGTGGCGGCTCACTGTGCCCTCGAGCTCCAGGGCGCTGGAAATAGTGGCGCGGCGCCCGCCGCCTGCGCCGGCCTCGGCACCCCCTGCAGACCCGGCGCCGCCGCACGCTCCGCTTAGCCCATCCAGGCTGCGGCTGTCCTGAAGGCGGCTGGAGAACAAGCGGCCAGTCCTGCTGGCCGCCACTACCTCTTCGCTGTCCTCCCGCTGCTGCTGCTGCTCAATATTCATTCCGCCCCCTCCCGGACTCCCTCGACGGCAGAACCTCTCGGATGCAGGCTCGTCCTCCGGCGGCTCAGGGTCCTGGTGTTGGGAAGAAGGGGGCAGGTCGTGTTCCGAACCCGGCTCCTCCCGGCGGCTCCGGGGCCCAGCCTCGTCCTCCCGCGCTTCCCGTTCCGACCGGTGGACTACGCTGCAGCTCGAAGTCTTCGGGGACGCCCTGGGGTGGCGGCTCGCGCCCCCAACGTTCTCGGCCTCTTCCTTCTCGGAGAGCCTGAGGTCTGAGGGTGGCTCAGAGGATGTTCGGGCGGGCCCACCGCCGAAGATCGCGGCCTGGTGTTTCCCTAGAGCCGTGGGGTCCGCCTCCGCCCCAGGCCGCCCCCAGGACGACTCCATACTGCAGGTGGGGGCCGGAACCGAGGAATTGGTTTGCCCCGGCTTTGGAGACGTTGGCGGCGCCTTTAAGGGGCGTTGGTAGAAGCGCCCCGATTGGCAGCATTGGCAGCAGGCTGACAATGGTAAGGACAGGAAGAGCACTTTGATTGGTCGTGGCGACTAGAAAGTCCCGGAAGAAGAGCTGTTATTGAACTGCCAAACACACGTGAGCGCAAAGGAGGTGGAGAGAAGGAGGTGACAGCTGCGCTCGTCGTCCGGCGCGTTCGAGAAGTTGAGGGGGTGGATCTTAAAGACGAAGGTCCTGAAATACCGGAGTCCCGTGGGTTCGGGGCCTAGACTTTTTCTACCCACAGTTGTACTCCCCTCAATTGCTTAGCAAACCCGCAAAGTGAGACTAGACGTGCGGTTTCCTGGAGAGGTTCTTTGGACCGAAATAGTATATCCTGCTTGGACTATCCTCTTGAACAGCACCTTGTTGGTCAAGAAGGATGGAACCAGAAGTATCCGCAGAGCATGAATTCTTCATTCCATCGTCCTCGGATGACAGATCTAGGAGAGGAACTGGCCAGAGTGTCTCGTGGTGCATGCAGGGGGCTTACAGACTCTCCTGTGCTCTTGTCTCCTGCCTCCTCCACACTGAGAGTCTCTCTCCTCCTGAAAGATAGGATGTGATTTTGCCACCAGGTAAAATATTCACTCAATGAAATAAGCACGGCTTTTTATAAGTTTTTGTTGCTGGTTGTAGTTGAGTCGATTCTGACTAATGGCGACCCCAAGTGTGCAGAGTTAGAACTGGGCTTCTTAGGGTTTTCAAAGCTGTAACCTTTTGCAAGCAGATTGCCAGGCCTTATATTGAGTTACCTCTCGGTGGATTTGAACCGCCAAGCTTTCTATTAGTCGGCCAGGAAATAAAGTGTTGTGATAGAAAATAACTGAGAAGGCATTAGTGTAGATAGGGGATCAGGAAAGTCCTCTTTGATGAGAAAACATTTCACTGAAAACAACGGGAATGAGCCAGGCACATTCCAGGCCCAGGGAGGAATAATTTGTGCTGAGTCCCAGAGACAAGGAACAAAGTTAAGGAACTAGAGGACGGTAGCGGGAGAAATTGGAGCTAAAACAAAATGGGCAAGGGGGAGAATTTGGAGCAATGAGACTGTAAAAGCAGGCAGGGATCACATCTTGCAGGGCCTTGTAGTTCCTGTGAGAGAATGGAGACTTTTTTCTCAGTGCAGTGGTGCAGCAGACACCGGAAAGGATGCAAATTGCAATACATAGCCAAAGCCCTGTAAATACAAGTGGATTACTAAAGCTCCTTCAGCTGATAAAGGATGTGGCTGCTCTTATCTGGATAGAGGGATGACCTGAGGCAGTGTCCTATCAGCATTCAGAAGTGCAACTCCCCAGAATCTCCCAGCAACTCCCCAACTCCAAGCCCCTGCTATGATCTTAGCCAGCCAACCCTGATGACAGCAGCTCGCCGTTTCAGCAGACTTGAGGAGCCCACGATTGCCAGCTCTCTGTATTTTATAGTCACCCGCGACCTGGTGAAACCACCATCATTCTTCTGCTGTAAAAAAAAAACAAACAAAAAAACAAAAACAAAAAAAAGCCCATACACATATGGGCTGGGTAGATATTCCTTAGATGTTGGGGGAACCTCCCTTGAGAATGGGAAGTTGGGCATAGGAAAAGGAGTGATGTGATGGAATTCATGTTTGGGGATTACTGACTGTTGTGGAAAATGTTTGGAAGAGGGTAAGGGGACAGGAGACCAGTGAGGAGACTTGTATTCATCCAAGTGCGAAGTGATGGTGGCTCAGTCTAGCATGGTGGCAACAGAATTGGGCATGTGGACATATTCTAGAGGTATCTTTTTTTTAAATAATATTTTGTGTTTAAGGTGAAAGTTTACACAGCAAATTCGGTTCCCATTTAACAATTTCAACACTCTGAATGTATCTTGAAGGTTGTAGTAGATAAATGTTTGGCTACCCAACATCTCCTCATGGATGGCAAGCTCGGCACTCCTCACTCCTTGAGGTTTTGGTGAGATGGCAGACTCCCATCCACATCCAGGATTAGGCACATGACCCAAACCTGGCCAGTCAGAGTGCTTCACTCTTCTGACTGCGGATTGGCTCAGGGATGGGCACATGACCCAGGGTGGGACCAGTAAAAGCCCTCCCAGAACACAACAGATTGTCCCTGACAGAGAGGGAGAAAAGTAGGGTGCAGAACTCAAATTCTAGTAAAAAGACCAGATTTAATGGTCTGATGGAGACTGAAGGAACCCCAGAAGACATGGCCCCCACACTCTCTGTTAACCTAGAACTAAAACCATTTCTGAAGCCAACTCCAGACAAAGATTAGACTGGACTATAAGAAATAAAATGATACTTGTGAGGAGTGTGCTTCTTAGTTCAAGTAGATACATGAGACTAAATGGGCAGCTCTTGGCCGGAGGCGAGCTAAGAAGGCAGAAAGGGATAGGAACTGGTTGAATGGACATGGGAAATCGGGGGGTGGAAAGGAGGAGTGTATTGTCACATTATAGAGATAGCAACTAGGGTCACATAACAATGTGTGTATAAATTTTTGTATGAGC